AAAAGGGACAAAGAGACACAAGGAAGAGAGAAAGAGAGAGAATAAAAGCAGCATTGAAAGTGTGGGGTTGAGAGTGCGGGTTTGTTTGTAGATTTGCATGAGGGAGACAACATGTGTCCTTAAAACTGCATGTTCAGTTGAATTGCTGTGTTCATGTATTTGAGGGCTTAGGTGTGTTCCTCTTGTGTATGCATCATCTGTCACATCATCTTATATGTACTATTATTTGTGTTGTTTTATATCTTTCTGTGAGTGGGGTTCTGTGCATTTTCAGAAACACAAAGCACGTGGCCTGCAGAAGTTCATGTGTCCATAAACCTGTTTCTCGCTTGAATGTCGTGCCTCCCCGGCGCGCTGCTACAAGTGGAGGCCACTTCACCCATGATGCAGATTCCAGGCCAATGGGCTTTCCAGCAAAAGAAATCCTTCTGCCACACTTCATGAGTGACAGCGCATGCTTCACTCCCTGCAGGGACAACGTCAAGTGTGCTGCAGTCCTGTCATGGCGACTCTTTGGGAATATGTCCTGTCAATGTAGCTTGTACTTGTATGTGATGTGTGGGTTCCTTTGAGATTCAGGGAGTGTGTGTGACAGCAATCCTGCATCTGGGATGGAGGCTGTGCTTGCGACAGTTGTTAAAAATTACCGTACCTTTTCACAGTGCATGCTCCATTAAGCTGCACATTAAGTTGGTTTTGCGTGACAGTGGGTTTTATTTGAAGAGGTTCGTTTCTCTGTCTGCTGGCATGATTGTTTGGTGTGTGTGCTTGAGTGGCCTTTGTGCTTGCCTGTGGTTGTGTGAATGAAGGTGCATGTTTCTTTTTCGTGGGATTCACTGTTGGCAGTGTGTGCACTGGTTCACGCATGCTGGCATGTTGCTTTGGCAACTGATGTTGTGGGGGTTCTTCCTGCCACTGTATTGGAGAACTTTTAAGAGTTGGGAGGGTCAGGGAAGACCCTCAGATCCAACCTCAGCCCTGAGACAGGGGACATCCCAGTACACATGAAGCTAGACTTAGACAAGGTGCTCTTGGACTTTTGAACAACAACTCCCAGAATCTGCCCCCCAATGCCAGCATAACCACTGGCTATACCAGCTGGGTGAATTCTTGGAGTCATAGTGCAAAAAAAATGTTTCCAAGCTCAGTCAAAAGCCTCCTGATAGGAGATCCTGCAGTGCCTTGTCCCTACTTGTTCTATGGCTGATTGGTTAGGGGTGTGCCAGCGCCAGCTGGTTTTCCCAGAAACAGTCTGGTGCTTATGCCAGCCACGTCCCCTTATCCAGTAGTTTGCAAGAATGCTAGCACCTCAATTAAAAAAAAGCCGGGGATTGATTTTCATCATAGGAATCTTCACCATTTCTGGCCTGACATGGCTCCTTTCTTCCTCTGCAACTCAAGTTGTTCCAACCTGACTGTAATGTGACCAGATCTAATGGCTGTTTCACCCCCGACACCTTCTGGTGCTTGAAGCTCAGTGTTTTGTGTCCTTTCCATCTGGTGCTCCTCTCCCTCTTCCTTTCTAACACCTTTTTAAATATTTGAAAACTGCCAACATGTCTCTCTCCCCCCTCCTCCACCCCCTTCATCTTATTTTTCTCGAGGCTAAACAGACCCAGTTCCTTCAGCATCTCTGCGTAGGAATTGCCTTCCAGACCTTTGATCATCCTTGCTGCTCTCCTCTGAATCCTTTTCAATTTGTCAACATCCTGCACGCTCGGAGGGGCTCAAAACTGAACACAGCACTTCAAACAAGGCCTTGCCGAGTGGGTGAGCATGCAAGCATTCCTTGATTCTGGAAGGATGCAAAAGAGACAAGCAGCTTTTACTGGGTCAAACTGGCGGCCTGTTTAGCCCTGCGTTGGGTCTGAGCTGCTGTGTCCTCTTTGAGAAACTAAATGCACAGAGAAAAGCTTAACTCTGCAGGCCGTTGGACTTACGCAGATTAAAGGCACCAGCAGATATTCTGCTTCGTTGCCTTGGTCTGTTTCTGCTCTGCACAGAAAGGGTCCAGAATCTCCACAGAGCAATTAATACCTGACCTCTAGCCTCCCCAAATTGTATTGAGCTTAGAAGGCTTCTTCAAGTGGTCCAGTGTCCACAGCTGGCACCCTTGACCTGTACAGCAGAGATATGAAGGAGGGAATACCTTTTTTGGACTACAGCCCCGAGAACCCTGCAGCCAATGTGTCCCACTCTGATCCAGCACCTTTTCACCCAGCTGATGTCTTCTCTGGGCCCCTCATGCAAGTGACTGCATCTGAAAGCTGCCATTTAAACACCCCCAATGTGCTCTGTGAAGTTACGAGAAATTAAAATGGAAAAGGTTCTTAGGATGCTGTAGGCCAATGCTACGTGTGGAAAAGCACAAGGAAATGAAAATGGGTGGCTTGCAGCCTGAGGTCCACCAACATAAAGAGAGAATTCACCGGAGGACATTTTGCTAAGGCCAGCTCATTGGAGCCAGCTCTGTCATAAGACATTTTCTATAGCCTTCCAAGTTATGGTTTCAATCATAAGGGACAGAAACTTGAAAACTTTTTATTGTGTGAAATGGTATATATCTAATACTAAATACTGCATTTGCTTAGAATTGTTATGTGCATGTGTGTACACATACACCCACACCCACAGACTCCATAAAGAGTCCTGGCCATGTCTCTGTGAGTGAGGCAAAACCCACTTTTGCCTTAGCAAACTTTTTCTTTGGTAGTTTTTAAAGTTTCGCCCCAGTATCTGTTTTCTGGGCTCAGAAAGGGAAAATCCAGGAGCCTTGATAAGGAGCAAAAATGAACATGACTGCCTCATGTCTTATGTGTTAAAATGTGGGCTATGCTATACATTCATAAAAGGAGTACGCTTAAAGGTACATCATAGATGGGTAGGAGGAGGATGCTAACCATTCTTTCTGTATGTACTACCGAACCACTTTCCAAAACTCAATTCCTAGGCTGTTTTTCTTCTTAGAAGGTGTTAACTTTTCATCTCAGCATATTGGGAGGAATCTGACCTGTGAAAAATTAAGTATTTTGGCTGGCCGGCCAAATGACTGGGCAGGAAAGGATTTCCTCCCATCCTGCATGTTGGATCATGCCCCCAATCCTTGCTTCATAGGACTTTGGCAACTCCCAGATTTGAGTTAACCAATAATGCTACCCTATGGAATTTATGCTGTCCGTCCTGGTTTTAGGGAATAACAATTAAATTTAATTTTGAATTCCATTAGATGATTCTTCTATTCCTGTTCTCTAAAGTTAGGGCCATGCCAAATGTTCTCCATTTTACCTGCTACATGTTGCTGCCTTCCATGACGTTTTAAAAGATTTTGTAAAATAATCCATGTAAAAGTCTTCAGTAGCCATATCCTGTTGCAATGAGTTCCAGAGATCACTGAAACCTGCTGCAGTCAAAATACTGTCTGGCAAGAGTTTTATAATGCAATTACTCTGCCACAAGCATGAAACTTACTAGCAGGTTGAAACCCTTGTCTCCTATTTGCAAGCCTGCCCATGTTTTCTCACTGATTCTCCCATATTCTTTCTTTCTGGAAAAAAAAGAAAGAAAAAAAGAGGAAAAGACAGAATAACTTAGTAACCTCTTCTGACTGGTAACACTAGGAGCTTGAAAGCGCCCCTGTTTTCATCAAATATATTAAGATCTCCATATATACAGAAGCCTCCTCTTAAAAAAAAGTTTGCAAACTCCAAACAAAGTAATTTCTTAGACATACTTTGAAGACGTGGGGCTTCAAAGATTAGCTAACCCTCTTCTAAGATCTTTGCACACAGGGCAGCTTGTGTATCTTCTCTATGGAAAGATATGGCAGAGGTACCTGCATCAGGAGCTCATATATCATTCCCACAATGAAGAGGCATGATTCTTCTCCTTGCACAGGAAATCAGGTTGCAGAATCTTTTGTACCTCACTTATTCCTGTTTTCACAGCACCTGTGAAGTAGCTCAGAGCAGCCAGCTTTAAGACAGTGGATGGTGATTTCAGTGTTGATCAAATACACTGTTTTCTTGTATTGCATCAGATTTTTTCTTTTAGTGTTTTCCGTTTCGTTTGGTTTGAAATATGAGTGCCCTTTCAATTAACAGAAGGGTTTTATAATCATGTTTTCTGTCATTTTCCACAATACCTCACCTAAGAGAGAGAGTGGCAGTGCACTGATATGTGGCTGTGTAGGATTTGTGAGAACAAGCCCTTTGCAACTCAGGCTTGGTTCGTCTGTATAGGTTTGGGAGCATGTGGTGTTATTTTATTTTCTAAATTCAGTTCAGAGTTATTTCAGCCATGATAGAACCTAGGTGTATGAGTTTGTATTTCACTGACTGTGGTGTATATTGGCATGTGTTGTTATTACCGTAATTGTGAGTCAGAGATTTCAAGATTTCAAGGCGGGGAGGGGGGAGAAGAGAAAGGAGAAAGATGCGTGAGAAGAGCAAGGAAAGCTAGATGGAAGAGGAGGAAGAGGAAAATGTGCAGGAAAAAGATCACAGTTTTCTGTTGAACAAAGTCACAGTTTTGTCTCCTAACACCCCCTCCCACCCAGAAGTCCAGACAGTTGTGTGGTGGTTCTCATCCACGCCCCATCCCATATCATCACTAGAGCCTGACTGATGACACATTTCTCCTGCTGCCAATCTGCACGGGGACACAGACTCTCTCCATCTTCAGGACTGGTTTGTTTCAGTGGCCCTCCCTTGAGTCTCCTTGAGAGAGTAATAGCCCTGCTGTTGCAGTAGCCAGTGGCCACAAGGAACCCACCCCATCAGTATGCCACAGGGTGACAGGAAAGCCCTTTTTTCTGGAATATAAAAGATCTGTTATGGAAACACAGGCAGGAACAGCTCCCCTCTAGCCCCTTCTGCAGATCGGCTGGTGGAAGGGAATGGGAGTTTGGCCACAGGGAGCTGATATTCTGGTGGCACTTGGGGTAGCAGTAGCAGGCTATTGCCCCTCTCTAAAGCATCATCTGCGCTTTCCCTTCATTTTTAAAAATGAGATTATCACTGGTTCCAGTCTCCATGGTGGGTTTTTATCTGTGACTCTTTTGGTTGAACAATTCCCCTTCCTTGTGGTAGAAAGATGTGGCTATAGGTCATATCTTTCCATTAGTATCCTAGTTGCATGCCCTTTTTGTCCTGGTGGGTTCATTCATGGCACTTTTCTCCCCCCCCCCCCATCATCTTCATAGCACTGCTTTTGTTCCTCATGTTGGGCCACAAATGCCATTACCATCATCTCTGTCCCCACTTGGTGAATAAAACTACAGCACAGTCTCTTTTCGTTTTCCAGTCATTCCTGTCCAAAGCATCTCTCCTTACCCCAGACCCACTCCCACCCCACCTGTCACTGGTCATACCTCTGACTCCAGGCTGGAGAAATGGGCTGAACCACGCCGGGCAAAAAGCTCCCCGCTCCGGCTCACCCGGCGTGGTAGCCACTCTGGTGAGAAGCCACCTTGATGTCGGTGGGAGGCCCCGCAGCGCATCATGTGGCAGGAACTGAGGTCCTCCAGACTGCGGGAGGTGGGGTGAAGGACTCCACCCGCCGGCCCCAGCTCACAGGAATGGTGGTGGCGGCGGCGATGGAAACCATGGCAATGCTGCGAAGCCAGGCAGCCGTACAGACTGCAGTGGCGGTGCTCCCAGTCCAGGCGACGTTCCAAACGCTCCTCGGAGCAGCTCAGGTAACGCAAGGCCTCCTTGCGGCAGGGCGGGGTGGGCGGTGAGAGCATTTCCAAGCTCAGGCAGTGCTGACAAGGACCGTGGCATCCGTGGCACTTAGCCAACTTGTCAGCTGACCAATAGTGCAGAGGCTTGTGGGTGGCAAAGAGCTGCCTCTCTCGGGATGGGTATGTGCAGAAGTAATCGGGAGACTGGTACCAACAGCTATGGCCATCGCTGTCCCTCTCACAGATATCAGAATCTGAGTCCGAAAAATCCATGTAATGACTTTGGCTGCGCAGACTGGCACCGACGGCAAGTGGGTGAGAATGGCTGCGGCAAATGTGAGCCCGGGAGCTTCTCTCTCGGCTTGATGATGTTGGGCATTTGGTTTCTGGCTCAGCTCGTGGCAGGGGTGTGTCGTCGGCATGCCGGTAACGGGGAAGAGGCGGGGAGCGCTCGTCTTCGTAGGACAGCCGTGTGTAGCCGTAGCGACTCCTCTCTTTCCCGAAAGGCCGGCTGCTGCCCCTTTCCAACTCACAAGGGCTTTTGGTGGCATATCCGCTAGATGAGTCGTACTTTTTCACTTCTGGGGTCCGGCTGGCCCCTTTCCCAGACTGGAAACTTTCATACAAGCCACGGAGAGATTTACGTTGCCAGCCTGATGCCACTGGCGGCATGTCAGGCGAATCTTTTTCATGGACAATGGCAAAGTAGGAAGGAGGGTTTTCCAGGCCACGGGAAGGTGGTGGTGGAGAGAGCTGACAGGGAGCCATCTTTTTCCCACCGACATGATCAGAGAGCCCTTCGGGTTCAATGGGGCCATAGAAGCGGTGGAAGCCATCAGAGAAAGGACTCTTGAGGCTGTGGCGTGGTGGTTTGGTAGTGGGCAGCTCCGTAGGTGTTGGAGGGTAGAGATCTTTGTAGCAGTTAGGGCTGCGGGCGTGGCGCCACCGTTCCACGATACGCCGCTCACGGGGCAGGAAGCTGGAGCAAGGGAGCGGAGGGCCTGGGGGACTGGGGAGTGCTGGGGCGGTACTACGTGATGGCCCATAGGTATGATTAAGGATAGGCAACTGTTGCTGGTCTGGAATTTTTGGATCTTCACTGCTACAACAACTGTACATGCCCTGAAATAAACAGTAGAAAGTAGGATAAATGAGGGAGCTGTTGGAACTATAACATACCTGCTTAACTGGGGTGGGAAGGCATAATTGGGATTTCACTTCAATCCAAATTATGGTAGACTGTTATGAACAACAGAGTATCAGCCTGTGCAGGTGAGCTCTGTATACCCCTCCCTTGAGGGATCTGTGTATAATAGGGATGGGCCAAACACATTCCTTTGGGTCCTTGGTCCCTCCTTTGATAGAAAGGGGAGATATAAATGAAATATGTAAAATAATGAATAGCAATATTGTTGTACTGCATCTCTCATGAGCCTAGCCGTCATAAACAATGGTATGCATACTGGGACCTGTCTGGAAGACTAAACTTTCCTTTTCTGAAGGAAAGAAAATGTATCTCCTCGTGAAATGCATTCTGCTGATAGCAGTATAATGACTCTTTTCCATGTGGAAAAATATCAGTCATAACACACTCCTGTGTGTGTGATCTTTGCAAATTCTTTATATAACAGAATAAAGCCTATCTTTCGGGTTTTATAAATCTGCTGTCAGCATTCTAAGCTACAAACGAGGATTAAATCTCATTGTGGATAGCCATGTCTATCACACCCTTGCAGTATCCCATCCTCCCCACCCACCTATCTCTTACATCCTTTACCACAGCACTCCCCTAGCTGAATGACCTATACTGGGCATAACTGCTAACTGCTAACTAGCTTCAGATTCCTTGGCCCAATTCTCTGCTTTAGTAAGGCCACAGCCCACATTTTGGGGAAACCTTTCTAGCTTTGTTTGTATCCCTGATGGTCTCCCTGGCCTCGCTTCTCACGAAAACTATATTAAAGAAGTCATCATCATCTTAGAACTGCAGAGCTGGAAGTGAACCTATGAATCATCAAGTCCAGCCCCTTCAAGGAGACACAGTGGGGAATTGAACTCCCAACTTCTAACATCACAAGCCAGATGCTTAAACCACTCAGCTATCCAGCTGTTTATCTAATGCTTCTTAAAGACATGTGTATCAGGACACTAGGAGTTATGGAGCAACTTTAACTCATAGACCTTCCTCCTTTTCTCTAACATACAGACAAAGAGAGACACATGCTTGCACCCCAATGAAAAGCCAGTTCAGTTCCCACCAGAAAGACATCCTTCCCTCCCACCCAGTGTGTCCTTCACTTTAGGTCATTGGTTTCAGAGACGGATTCCCCATGGCAGTGAATGGAGAGAAAGAAGGAGGAAGCGAGAGAGAAAGAGTGAAAACAAGAGGGTAGGAAAAATATCAGTAGGTAAATTGGCCCTCTGAAGATCAAAAAAGGAACCCAAAGAGGAGACAAAGGAAATAAGCATTGGAATCAGAATGTTGGGTGGGACTTTTGCCACCTGGCTAGATGGTTTTGTTTTTAGCTATCCTTGCTTCAGTGCTAAGCAGCAGCAATTTTTAATCTGTATTTAAAATGATCAACATATGCAAATGAGAACTATACAGAACTCAATTTGTGCTCTGCCTGTCTCATGAGAATCTGTTTTAAATGCCAGAGGGGTGGCCCGTTAACTTAACTGCACTACACTGAAAATTTAATCAAGTCTGAAATTTGTTTTAACTGCCTTGACCTTGACCCCACCCTCTGCAACTTTCCTGTGGGAAGTGGCAGGCTTCTGTGAGCACTAGCAGTTTTTGTCCTAATCATCCCAAACCATATCACAGAATTACAACATCTCAGATACCATCACTGGGAACTGTCACTTAAAATGCTTGAAAGTGGTTTTCATTTGCATTATACACATCATAACAATATGCTAATGCCTCCTCGCTCAGTAACCACAGCCAGTCTCTACACATGAGGTGCTAAAGAACAGCACTTGACAATAAAGAAATGTATCCTAAGTTCCAACACCCATTCTTTTTCAAACTAACCACTAAGAATCGAAATAAGAAAACAGAGGGATGTGGGCAACACGGGATGGAGACCAGCAAAACAAGACTTGATCATTTCTCACATCCTCACCCACTTCTGAGAATCAGCTTGGCTTCTTTATGTCTTTTTATTGTATTTGGCAAAGATGATAATCAACGAATCAAACACTGGTTTGCTGGTCTATCTGGCACCCTTTCCTCACTCTTTCAGACAAGGGGCCAGTGCCTCCTGTCCCTTTAGACTGTTTGAAGTGACACCAGCAACCTAAGCAAGCCAGGTCTTTATCCAGGGCACTAACGTTTAGAGGTGACTCTACGAGTGAATGTTAGGAAAATAGACATCAACACTTCTTGATTCTATTCTCTCTCCCCTTGTTTGAAACCACAGATGTCATTTTTTTTGAGGGCAACCACATTCTCCTCCTCCTTTTCCTTAATGGGGGCTTGTGCCCTTACCTCAGGGCAGAATGAGTGGGAGATGGTCCCACTTGCCCCAGATGCCAAAATTGCTAATTTACAGCTCTGAATGCAATGTGTAGATTCATTCAACTGGACATGCATTTTTCATCTTAATTTAAAAAGATACCCAATGCAAAAATAAATTTTTAAGTTATAAAACTGCCACAGGGAAGGAGGTTTGTGACATCAAAGGAACCGACCGGTTAGCTCTGTGCACAGCTGCTGCAGGCAAGCAGAACTGGTTTTATTAAGCTTGCTCCTGAAGAAGGCACTTGTCTCTGCAAAAAACACAGGGAAGTGTGTGCTTCTGCAGCAATCCCATCACTCAACTGAGGCATGTTTGTACATAACCATGGATAAATAATTAGGGAGAAGATACAAGGAGAGGCACATTGGATTAGCTAAGTAAATCAGTTTTTGTGTGTGATAAAGTAACCTAAATTCTGTATACAGATTTGCATACAGTGACTGTTTTGCAGATTTTAGCACACAGCATGGCAGATCACGGCAAGATCCCACCTCTTCTGAGATTCCAGTCCCTTGCCCATATATATGCTCTGTTTCCCACATACGATCTGAAACTTATTTCCACAGCCTCAGGAGACAGAAATTGCATGGTGGGGATACTGGTGATTAAGTGAACGTGAAGACCTGAGAATGCTGTTCTTTGCGTGCAAGACAAATACATATACTTGTATTGTGTGGTCACATGATAGCTGCAGCTCTAGATAAAAGGAAAGAAGCGTGGGGAGTGAGGAGCTTACTCTCTGGAAAACAAAATGGAGAGCTGGGACTCAAAACATCACATTTGAGCAGACCCATGGAGGCACAGCCAGCCCCTTGACCCCTCTTATAACCTCACCCTGCTGAAGGCGAGCAGGAAGTCCAGTCGTCCAGTGTGTCTCATACAGTGACGTAATTTCCAGTATATGAGGTGTTCCCAGGCAAAGACCAGGAGACTGAGCCCCATAGCTACCAGGAGCATATAGAAGACACCAGCCATGTTGTCTATATCCAGCTTGCTGCTCATCACTTCGATTTTGTCATTGTGGCAGATTCCTGAGAGCCAGAGACGCTCCAGCAGCTCAATCTCATCTGAAACAGAAAAGGAAGAGGAAAGAGATGGAAGCCAGGAGCGGTGCTTCTCTTGCTGTCCTTTCCCCAGTATAGCCAATTAGCAGAGCTTGTAAAAATTACTTTTTGGAGTAAAGCTCTCAGAATCCCACAGTTGTACTCCGAAAAGTAAATGTTGCATGCTCTTCCCTTTAGCCATGGTTCCCCTTCATCTCCCATGACCAAGTAGGTGTGATCAACAAGCAGAAGGATAACACTTCAGGCATGGCAGGCAGCTGAACAGGCCATTCCTCATCTGACTCCTAGGGCACATTCATACTCCAAGACCAATTAATTATTGCTCCTTAATACAATTTACTATTCTTCCTTATCCATGGTTCTGATTGTGAAAGATTGTTCTCTTTCTACCTTTGCCATGCATATCTGTGAATCCTAATCCATTTAAAAAGTTTTTGTTCCAAATTAATTAAAACAGCACACTGAGGTTTTGTACACATTGGCATGAAAGGTAGTCCAGATTTAAGTGGTATGATTTGCAGGATGCATGGGTTGCTAGGCAACATTTTCTTGCACTCCCTTGCTCCACTAGGACCTTGCAACCCATATATATTATGCTCTTTCACACCTGAGTATAAGGCTCTCTGAAACACATTACAAACACACATTCATGCACACATGTGATATAAATACTCCCAACAGCCCTAAACGGCTTGGGCCCTGGATACCTGAAGGACCGCCTCCTTCCATATGAGCCTACCTGGCAGTTAAGATCTAGCCAGGGGGCCCTTTTGAAAGAGCCGTCCCTCAAGGAGGTAAGAGGGACGGCTTGCAGACAAAGGGCCTTTTTGGCAGCTGCCCCCAGACTATGGAATGCCCTCCCCAATTTTATATATATTTTAATTGTATTTTAATTGTACATATCTTTATTGTATTTTAAATGCTGTAAGCCGCCCAGAGACCTTTGGGTAGTGTGGGCTGCATATAAATTAAATAAATAATAATAATAATAATAATAAAATAACAGTCCTTATTATGTCCGTAGTCAACATATATATGTGTACACACACACACATAGATAGAGCAATAGATAGAGCAGCAGAGCACACACATACTTATAGTATCCTTGCACATGGGGAATTCATTGCAAAATTCGCAATGTTCTGTGAACCCAAGCTCCACATTATGCAATAGGAGCAAGTTTTCAACATAGGTAAAATAGACATACAGTGGTGCCTCGCTTAGCGATGTTAATTCGTGCAGAAAAAATCGCTGCTAAGCGATAACATCGCTAAGCGAAAATAAAAAACCCATAGAAACGCATTAAAATGCAATTAATGCGTTCCTATGGGCTTAAAACTCACCTTTAAGCGAAGATCCTCCATAGCGCCGCCATTTTCGGTGCCTCTAAAGTGAGGAATCCGTGCCTGAAAACAGCAGGCGGCCATTTTGTTTGCCTAGTGGCCATTTTGAAACCTGCTATCATCGCAAAGCGAAATTTCCCCATAGGGACCATCACAAAGTGATCGCTTTTGCGATTGCAAAAACAGCTATACGGAGCGATCGCTATGCGAGGCACCACTGTACTTTGTAATTTAGTTTCAATGTTTTATTAACAAGTGTGATTTTTATTTTATTTTGAAGTTGTAGCATACTACATGCAAACCAATGTAAACTGTAATATGTGACAATGGACACCTAGAGCAGGGATGGGTAATTTTTGGTTTTGTGAGGCTGGAATTGGAGGACCACCCACACCATTTTTGCCCCCAGACCTGACAATATTTGGAGAGGGAGTTAAATGGTTAGTCATACATCCCACATCCTCCAGGTGGTCAACTGAAGCTATTTTGGGGGAGGTTGTGTATGATTTACGGCCCTTTTTCCAACACCAGAAGTGGTCTCTTAACAATATTGACAATTGCAGGAAAATGCTGTGAATTGTGTAACTTGGAAACATCCCACTGAATATCAGGATTCATGAGTTTGTCCTAAAATGTAAATATATGCATCTTTTGTGACAAAATTCATCTGAAATTACCAATATTTTTATGTGAATTGTCCACCACTTTGAGGACATACTCTGTAACAAGTTTAAACCCAAAGTCTACAAAACTATCCAATTCACTTTCCTCCACACAGTATTCTTACGTACCATACTCCTCGTTGAGTATTCCTGCCCCCCCCCTCATTAAACAAAGAACATGTCTATGTCTGGAATGCTTTGTTTCTGAATGTTGCTCATGCAGCCAAGAAAGCTGGAGAGAAAGTCATGCTGCTTTTTTTTATTCAACTGGCATAAAAGGCAAAGTGATTTAAGCAACCCCATCTCCAGCATCTTGCTGGCATGCCCTGTTGAGATGGGAAAAGCCCGGTGTCCCATTCTCCAGGGGATCGTCATAGTCAGCCAAGCCTATTAGGAAAAGTAAGATTGTTGGCTAACAGCAATTAGAGCCTCAGACTGAGCCCATTAACAGCAGCCAAGACGGAATCTAGGTTCCTCTGCTCAGATCAAATATGCCAGAACGGTGTCTGTTCATTATCCCTGCAGCTAGAAATAGAAAGCAGGTTGTATGTCTCCCATTGCCTTTGCTCTAGTCTAGTCCATGGAGGCTTACTGGCTCTCTCCCAGGAGTTTTGACTCCCGGACCTCCTGGCTTGAACTGACTGGACCCCACAATTCTCCTGAGGTTTCTTCTCTCTTATACTCTGAATTAATGAATTCAGAGCAAAATAGCAGGATCTGGGCACGATCAATCTGTAGGTGTGCTGAAAGAGAGCAGAAGTGGGAGAATGTGCAGGCTGATTTTCAAGCACTGGTGACAATGGGATTATGAGAGTTGTAATCCATAACATCTCTGGAAGGCCCCAGACGCAAAAGGTTACTTTAGTAAACTGTGAGAATTGTTGTCAGTTCTGGAGCCCAGAAATCCTTTCAGGAAACCCGTAAATATGGATTAGAAACTGCAACCACAAATGAATTTGTGCTGTATGGGAGAAATTTGTGCTTGGTGATGTGAGCTGGTTGATTAACATGAGATGCTTGATTAACATGAATGGGCTTCTTGCTCTAGTTTTGCCTGACAAATTGATGGCTGATCATGGATTTGACAAATTGGCTTTAATAGGCTGTAATGACATTGAATCATTCTGTAGCCTTGGAAATGCAAAATCTTTGGAAGTCTAGGGGAGGACAGAGACACAGCATGAAGTCACTTTGCATTTCTGAATGGGACTGAGAGATGTGCGTTGGCTGAGGCCAAAGCAGCTTGGAGTGCGAGGTCTCATTGTGGCATCTGATACAAGATTAGTGGATTTCCTGCCTGTTGTAGAAATGCATATTTGCTTCTGTTATGCTCTATCTGCAATTCAAACAGGTTTTATTACAAAGACACCATATGTCCCCAGCACTCTTTCATCCAAAGGATACTTAACCAGGTAGCAGTGCTCCTGGACTAATTTATCAGGGAACACATAATGCTATATTTAACTGCCTCATTTGCAAACATGTAAATTGTTAAAATGTGCTAAAAGGAAACTAATTTTTACAAATATTCAAAGTAAGGTCAAGGAATGATCTCCCTTGCCAAAATGGTTCCCATTCAGCCAAGTAAGTCCCTGCCCTGGGTTTTTTAATGGCAAACATGAAGGAGACTCCTGTTCTTTGCTCCAGACAGAGAATGAAGCCTGTTGAGAAGGACTGAAACAATGTGGTACCGTCTCACCTAAAGCCTCTTTAACACGTGCTTGAAAACCTGATACCAGATGTCAATTACTTTGAGTTGTTCCTTAGTGATAGCATGTGGATAGAATGTGAGCCTGCCTTCCAGTAGGAAATGGGACTCAATAGTCCAAGATTCCTTTCTAACACAATTTGAGTGCCACAAAACATAATAAATATCCCTTATTCTGTTTCAAAGTGTCCTTTATTTCTGAACTCACCCCAGGGCAGCCTGGGGGGGGGGATTCAGAAGACAGAGAACACTACCACCCACTCAGATGTTGGGGAAAATATACCCTCCACCTCCCAGCCCTTAATCTGTTTCTCATCTTAACGACCTAGGCATCCTGGCTCCCTTCTTAACTTCCCCGTGCCATCTCTAGACCCTGGCACACAGCTTATCCTTACCGTCACTCAGAAACTGGAGCAGGGCCAAGTCAATGGGCCGTTTCCACTTGGATCCTTTCTGTAGCGCAATGCCGTAGCCTGTAGTGGCAAAGACTTTCCCGCTTCCTATGGTGACAAGTTTACAGCCTTCTTCCTTGCGGGCCATGTAGTTCAGGACAGCTGCATCATAAATGAAGGCATCCAGCTTCCTGCAGTCAGACAAGGAAGAGAAACAAAGATACTGGAATATAACATATATAGTTATAAGAAATTGGTTTGTACATACAGTATATATGTTGGTGACTGATTAATAATGTTTGGCTTTTAACTGATCTGCTGATAAAAGCAAAATATTCATATCGCAAAGAAAATGAAGACATGTTTTTGGGGCTCTTGATAGCTTTCTTTAAATATGAGGAACCTCCTGTTTGTTCCTTCTTCTAACCTTTTTAACGGATTGTTTTCATACCACAGGTGCATATTTCCCCTGACTTGCATAAATAAGAGCAAAACACATTTTTAAAAGCAAGTTCAGGACCCATTTGCTACTGCAAAAAAGCCAGGTTTTAAAAAATTTATAGTCTGTAATTTCAACAGCTTTGGCTGTTAGTGATCCTAATGGTTAGAAAGAAAGCCATCGTCGTATTTCGAAGAAGGAAAGTGTTGGCTAGCTTTGGGTAACAAATTGGAAAAGGTGAGAGGGAAACCCTTCTACATTTCTTCTATGTCATCACACAGGTTGCAAGCACGATCTCTTTACCCGCAGAAACATCTCTGTGGACTGCCCAGCAACAGTATCACTGAACCTGCCTTTATATACAGATTTTATTATGTGACTGATTAATCTTCCCATTAAAACATGACAAGCTTTCAGCTATAGCATAGATTTGTGTAAAAGGCCTTGGGGGAGGGAAGCCCTTTACAGCTAATCTATATCCTAGCTCATGTCTCCGCTCCATCTTTATCTTGGCTTTCCCCACAACCTGTATGTATGCGTTTATTTTGTATGTACCTCCAAGGCTTGGAAATGTTACTCTTTTGAAATACATGCTAGCTGGGGGATTCGGCGAGTTGTAGCTTAAATGAGTAACATTTCCAGGCTCCATTATTTTCTAATATCCAGCTAGATACCATGGTTCCATTTATCTGTGTACTCTTCCCCCTGCACCACTGTGAGACAGGGGGCGAGAGTAGTAGTCCTCTCACTGGAATGCCGTCCCTTCCCCTTACTGCCGAGAAAGAGATACAGACCTTGCCCACCTCATCTCCCAAGATAACAGAGCAGCAAGGGACAAATACACAGGAAATAGAAGGAGAAATACAAAAGTTAACTGTTGAAGGAACTCAGGGAAAAACGGTGGGAACAGAGTGGAAGAAGAGGGTGGAGATAGAGATGGGAACAACAGATATAAAGAGGAGGGAAGAACAGTTACCACCAGGTTGGGAGTGGGTTTGGCTGGAGGATCCCTGGACCGGAGCATGGGAAAGGCTAAGGGTCCCAAAAGAGGAGGTAGACTATAGAAAAAGGAGAGAAATCCCTCCAAGACCCTCTTATTGGGGAGAAGCAGAAGCCAGAGAGTGGAGGAGAAAGCTAAGAGAAGAAAAAGAGAGAGTAGAGAGAGAAAGGAAGGAGAGGCTGGAATGGACGGTAAGCGAAATGAGGATGAAAGGGTACAGGGACCCTGGAAGACACACACACCCATTAGATGTTCCGTGTGGGAGGATGGCTGGGATAACAACACTGTGCCCCTGCTGGAAGGTAAAGTGGGACAGGTGGTGAACCCGCATTTATCCATTAAACCTGGGTGAAGGGAACGCGTTCCTACATGAAGGGTGGAAGCCCCTGGCTGACCCGTTGTCAGAAGGAGAAAAATGTTGGAATAATTTTGTTGATACCGGTTATTTGCTGATCACACCAATAAACATCACACCTGTTTCTAAATTACAAAAATTTCCTGATCTATTTGAACGAAGAAAGGAGCCTGAAGCTGAATCCTCACATATTGGCGCCCAACATGGGAGGCCTTCACCATTAGAAAGTTCCACAGAAGAATGGCTCTGCAAAGTAACAGAAGGTCAAGAAACTCTGATAAAACAACTGATGGATCAGCAAAATCTATTGATTACACATTTAATGAGAACCCACCTTGCTGCACCGCTGCCTCCAGAAACGATGCCACAGAAGGCATTGATAGCAAGCCAGCCACCCATAAAAATACAAAAAATGGGCCCACACGATGACCCAGCAGCATTTCTTAATATGTTTGAACGAGTGGCTACGACGGCGCAATGGCCGACAGAACATTGGGCTTTGATCTTCACGCCATATCTAACAGGCTTACCGCAAGAAATAGTAGACACACTGTATATGCTTGAAGCAGGAGATTACATGAAAGTAAAGATGGCAATCCTAAACACATTGAACCTAAACAACAAGGCATACCGACGATGGTTTAGAGACCTGAGATTATGCCCCAGAATACACCCGCGAACCCTAGCACAAAAAATGAGGGTCAGTGCCACAAGGTGGATAAAACCTAAAGGGAAAATGGCAGAACAGGTGCTGGAGATCATGATCATGGAACAACTCATATCAACTTTAGGATTGGGACCAAGAAATTGGGTAATGAAGAACAAACCTGCCAACCTAGAGGGTGCTCTAACTCTATTAGAAGACTACTTGGGAGCAGAAGAGCCGCGGCCAAACGGGATGATGACGCAGATAGAAAAATCTAGAAGCAAAGAGAAAATGGCAGAATCGACAGGGAGCACGAACGCACGAGGTCTGAACACGCCGAACATCAGGAGATCTAGACCAGACCACATGGACTTCGTGAACCCAACTGGCAGCCGGGTGCCAAGATCCACCATAACGATGGAACTAGTGCAGATGAGACAAGCAGTGATGTGGAATGTGCCGAAGGCGGCATGCCATGGGTGTGGACAATATGGACATATCAAGAAGTATTGCCCAGCGGAAGTGTGTGCATGGATAAACATATATGCCCTGACAGCCAAGGTTGGTACAGAAGTCTTAGTGTTACTTCCTACGGAATCAGCTAAATTGTTTGCTAAATGGCAAGGGCCATACAAAGTGGTTAGGAAAATTAGTGAGGTAGATTATAAATATGACAGACAAGAAAAAGAAACTACAGGTACTGCATGTAAATTTACTGAAACATTGGGTAGATGGAGAATCTGTCTTTGGAGACTGTGAAGAGGAGGAATTGGGACCTGAGGGGAAGAATGATGAGGGAGAGAAAGAGACACAGGTGATTATTGATGACTGGGTAGAACCACAACAAGCAGACCAAATACGTCAATTAGAAAAAGAATTCCCAGTCATGTTCTCCAAAAGACCTGGGTGCACACGCTGGATTGAGCATAGTATCAAGACTAAACCTGGGGTGGTGATAAGGACAACAGGGAGATCTTGGCCCCAACAACTGACCCCTGTGATCAAACAAGAAGTGGCAGAGATGTTAAGTTTGGGAGTTATTGAGCTGGCCAAGGGGCCTTGGTGTAGTTACCCGGTAGTTGTACCCAAGCCTGATGGGTCTGTTCGATTCTTCATAGATTACCGTAAGGTCATCATGGTTTCTAAATTTGACGCATACCCGATGGCCAAGGTCGGAGACCTGTTAGGCAAATTAGGGGGTGCTAGATACTTTCGTCTTTAGACCTAACAAAGGGGTGCTGGAAAATCCCTTTAAGAGCTCAAGATAAAGAAAAAACAGTCTTTTCCACCCATGGGGGCTTTTTCCAATTTACAAGAATGCCTTTCAGGTTACATAGCGCAGCAACCACCTTCCAATGCCTCATGGATCAAGTACTGGCCCCAGTACAGTACTGTGCGGCCGCGTACATAGACGACATCATTATATACAGTTCCACTTGGAAGGAGGAACATCTAGAACACTTGCACGGAGTCTTGAAAGAATTGAGAAGGGCTGGACTGACTGCAAACTCCTGTAAATGTAGAACAGCCCTTCCCAAGGTAAAATATCTAGGCTTCTCCATAGGTGGAGGCAAAATACAACCCCAGGAAGGAAAGATTGCTAAGATTACACAGTGATATTGGCCCTGGACCAAGAAGGAGGTTCAGATTTAGCCCTTCAACCTTTTGCCTTCACGGTTCAATATTGGAAGGGGAAGGAGCATTCTAATGTGGATTATTTATCCCGGCACGATCCATGGGCAAGGGGTAAGGAGGAATGGACAGCCCTCTTGGATGCCCCTGCTGGAAGGTGAAGTGGAACAGGTGGTGAACCCGAATTTATCCATGGAACTCGGGTGAAGGGAACCCGTTACTAGACAAAGAGTGGAAGCCCCTGGCTGACCTGTTGTCAGAAGGAGAAAAACGTTGGAATAATTTTGTTGATACCGGTTATTTGGTGAACACACCAAGAAACATCACACCTGTTTCTAAATTACAAAAATATCCTGATCTATTTGAACGAAGAAAGGAGCCTGAAGCTGAACCCTCACAACCACAAGCCAAAAACTTATCCCAACTGATGGAGGGCCTACTGGTTACAGCTGACTACAGGGAAGGTCAGTCTGTGTCAGGGATCTCTTGTCCTGCCTCCTTGTGCCTCTCCCTCCACAATCACATAACCACCATAATTTTCCACATGCTAGTAATCTCCACCTTGTAAAAGTACGATAGTTTTTAAAAGCTTAGTGTAAACCAAGCAACCAACCCAAACCCCCAACGAAAAGAGAGAGGGAAAATTTAGCATCACACATAATGTCATAGAACGGCATTGTAGGGAAATCTGGCAAAAGCAAATGTGTTGAATGGTGCAATTGAGGGTCCTGCAGAAAGAGAAGAACCTTTCAAAACCTTATACAGCTGAAATGGTCCACCGAGCTGCAGTTGCTGTGTCAGGCCAAATTACACTGTCAGCTCAAAACGTACTAAGTACTCACTGAGCAGAAGCACAGAGGGCCAGCTAAAATGATGGCGAAGACCAGAGCTTTTTAGAGTTACAGACTTTTTCTATTAAAAAATCACCTCCCCTCCCCCTGTTGTGGTTTTGGGACAGGCTGGGCTAAGGCATACATTAGTGGAGTAGGGACTATGGGACTAGAACCAGAACTGCAATGAATGAATGAATGGATGAGACAGAAGTTGGGTGGAAAACAGCCTGCTTAGCAGAAACTGCATTTCACTGGCTTTTCAGGACTGCAGTATGGGTCATCTGATCAAGTTGTTCGGATTACTAAAATGACCGGCTGCTGAGCAACTCTATTTGCTTTGGGGCAAATAATCAAAATCCTGTCATTTAAATTGCCTTTTAAATCAATATAACTGCAATATGTATGTGGGTGAGGAGTATCCTTCTCCTAATTTTTAAATTCACACTTATAAAGCAGAAACTCCAGTCCATGTACCTATATACATCTACTGTTCATCCTTTATTTTCAAAGAAGACCGTTTCTGTCAGATTTATCATTTAAGAAAAAAGAAGTAAGTGGTTAAGGTTGAATGGTAGCATGCTGATGGACGTGTAGATGACTAACTAGCCTAGAAGATATGGACACAGTGAGGGCAGGCTAGCTCGTCCTGCAATCATTGGGCTGTTGTAATGTTACATCCTTGCTTTCTGATTTTTCCTCTTCCTTCACGCATCCTTGATTCTTTTTATTTCAAATTTTTAAGCCACTTGTTTGATGGTGGTTCACCAGACATCTTGGTCTTGAGTGAGAGCTTCCCAGTTGAAGTCAATATCAAATTGGTTTGAAGTTGTCCACAGTGTGTCTTTGAACTGAATACATATATACACACATATTCATTAGGTTGATCTTTTATCTATTTATTCATAAGAAGTAGAATAAATAAATAAATTGTGTAGAATTAGGAAGTGGCAAGTAATCTGGGTTAATTGATAGCATATATTGCTATCGTGTATATGTAGGACTAAATGGTAAATCATACATCCTGTAACTCAGCCAGTTGGCCTTTTGAACTGGTAGCCAATTGGCCTTTGAAATTGGTAAGCCTTGCCAAAACTGCTTAGAGTTAGTGATAAAACACTCCGGTATCAGGAAAAACAATACTTAAATCACAAGTGCCCACAAATACAAACCCACAAATTCAAATATAAAACCCCACATGGGAGTCTCGTTAACAGCATGCTTGCACAACTCAGTCCTGCACTGAATGCTTCACTGCAGACTTGTCTTATTTGGTTTATTTATGAAATGAACCAGTAGGAAGCCAGAGACGTTCACAGAAGCACTGTTCTGGAGAACAGCAGGCAGGCACTGTTGCTGGTGTGCACAGCAGCTACCCAGGCTAGACAACCACTTGTTCATTGTATTTTACAGAGAAAAAGTTCAAAGCCTTAAAAAAAATTAAAAAACAAACAAACACGATGGTAATGTTTACAGCAGCATCTGTTTACATGAAGCAAGTCTCGCTGTGTTCGGAGAGGCTTACTCCCAAGTAAGTGTGCAGAGGACTGCAGCCTCATCAGACTGGATTCAGCACTATTATGAGGCAGAGTCAAGCAGCCTCTGATCTAAGGATCACAAAAGGGGAGCAAACTATGAGTGTCTACATTGGTTAGTAGTCCACATTTATTGTCAAAGAGGAGAGATTTTAGTGCCTCTTATGCCAAAATAGCTTGGCTGTTTTAGGAAACTACCCACCTTGACTTAAACAGATAAGGAACACGATTTTTTACTCTGCCTCAGGCAGGAAAATGTGTTGGGCCAACCCTGAGCCTCACAGATTAATTCAACAAATAAGATCAGTACAGAATGTTTTGGTTGACTAAAACAGAGCCACAATGAATAAGGCAGCAGAGGCTTTCTTGAATTAATTAAATAAACATATATTTAATGAAACTTGGTAAGAGCCATTTTGGCAGGAACTATCATGGGAGTAGGGGGAGAAGCTGGAGGGCCATGTGGCTCAGCTATCACACTTACAGAGGGTCTGAAATGTAAAATACACTACAATTTCTGAAGCTCTGTTTTGGCATTGAGAACCACAAAAAATAGAAGGGGCCTGGGCCTTTTTTCACCTCTGAGAGGTCCAGATCTAGGAAGAGGCATTTGCTCCTATTCCAAGGCAGGAGGAGATGGCAGACATCATCATGCCAAGGAGAGAGAATGCAGGATGTCCTTTGTAAGATGATGCCTGCAATGTGACACATGGGTGCATCATCTCAAAACAGACACAGTATGATTTTTCCTTTTAGAATTATTTTTTCATATGCCCTTTTCTGCACATTTAATGAATACACTGATTAATTGACCAAAACTCGTATTATTAAATTAAGCTTTCTTTAATAAAATGTGACTAATACATTTGTTGTAAAATTCCAAAATAGTTTGGGCGTGAAGGCTAGCTATGTCACAGGCAATGTCCAACAACAGCCTGTGACACTCACAGTATCACGTTTTCACACAAGCAATCACCAGAGCAATTAGTGTACATTACTGGTAAGGGTCAGGGGAGCAGGAGGCATAGTGCTTTCTTCTGAGAATATTTTGTCCCAGGTGCAGGCAGGTGAGCAATTTCTTTATTGGAAAAACTAGGCTTCCAGGGCTGATGGGCAGAGTGGAGGATATACTGTACATGAGAAAACTTTGTTTATTCAGTACAAAAAATTGATTGGGTGCAAAGGACCTTGGAGCACAGGTGGGGCTGGCTAGTAAGTTGGTCAGAGAGAGAACATTCCCCCCAGGCAACAAGATAGTTAAAGGTGAAAGCTTAAGGCATAACAGGGAGAAGATAGGAAAGAATTTTAATTGACCTTCCTGCCTTTGTTACTTCCTCCTTTTTCCATTTTAGGAAAGTATTTTTTTTAGACTACAGTTTGGACAAAAAACAAAGCTAGCACTGCCTGATATGGGTTTTGGAGAGTTGTAGTCCAAAGAATTAACATTTCTCGTCTCTGCTCACCCCCACAGCCCACCTCTTCTCCTCCTCCTCCATCTCTGTCATCTTCATTTCCCCACACTTACCCCGTCTGCAGATTATGGAGTGCATCCTCCACACTACGCTGGTTGTACTTGCCCATATATTCGTGCATCTCCCCATAGTTGTTCCGAATATTTTTCTCAGTGCTTCCGTTGGGAACTGTGCCAAATCTTAGTGGCGGATAGTGATGCTGGGGTTTCTGGAACTGTTGAGGGAAGGAAAACGACACTGGAATATGAAGAGCGCTTACTTGGGTTGTCCGCTACCCTTTTGCTACCCCATTCACAGAAGTGAAAACTGAGCCAAAATAGAAGCAGGGCCTGGGATGGGTGGGGCTTCTCTCAGTTCTAGTGGAGATCAGTTTGACCTGTTCACTGTCATTATCAATTATCTGATTGATAAATGTGAAATTTGGCTAGCATTGATGAAAGCAAATATTATGCTTCTGGATATGAAGAACACCTTATGGCTGTGATGGACAAGACAGTCAGGTATAGGAATGGTGGCTGGCTGGGTAATATTGATGAGCAAAAAGTGTGCTGCTTATATACTGCCCCCCAAGAGCTTAAAGCAGTATCTGGGGAGTTTATAATTTATTTATACAGGCTACCCATTGCCCCCACCCCCCGTGAGCTAGGTACTCAATTTACCAACCTCAGAAGGATGGAAGGCTGAGTCAACCTTGAGCCGGCTACCTGAGCCCGTGAGGATCAAACTCAGGTCGTGAGCAGAGTCTTGGCTGCAGTACTGCAGTTTAACCACTGCACCATGAGGCTCCTTACAAGAGCAGGCAAGAGAAGAGATATGCGTATGGTGTGGTAACAAAATGTAAATGAATGAATGAATATAAATGAATAGCTATATAAAAATTGTCTTTGACAACAATTTTGCACGTAGCAAAATAAATAAGTAAGTAAAATAAAATAAAGCTAAAGTGAAGTAAATTCCCAATGAGGATTTTGAGACAAAGCAAGACCCTCTGGTTTCAGCACAAAGGTTTTCTGAAAGCCGAATGTATAGGGCAGTTAGCATGCTAGGAGAGTAATGTATTGATGAATTTTCTTACATTTTGCCAGGATGTTTATGTTTACCAAGCCTTTGAAAGTTTAAGACCAGTTTTAATGCAATTTATTTCATGTTAATCTCATCCTCTACAGAGCTCAGGGGAGTGTACATTATTTCCGTGCTCCCATTTTATCCACACAACAAGCCTGCTATTAGGTTAGAGAGATTGGTTGGATTGGGGGAGGAGTATTCAGAAAGAATGAATACATGTACCGAATATTGTTCCCATTTCTCTTTGGGCATCAGGAGCTGCTGACAGAATTAACCATTTCCTTTGGCATATCTTGATGGAAGATTCAGGGACTAACTACATGTTATGTATAAGTGTATATAATTAAGCCTTGGTAGCTTTTTAAAAAAGGAAAACAGCATTGAGAGAGAGGAATGTAGAATGAAGAATGCTTGCATGAACCTGGAGTACACAATTAAAAAATAAAATGGTGGGCAGAGAATCGGTTGAGTACTCTACCCTTTTCTCTTCTGTATTCACTATTCCTAATTACCATATCCCAAAGATGAGCTTTACATTAAAACAAAAAATGACATTGGGGGTTCAGCAGCATACTTTTCCATGTAACTGAAAGTTTGATCCCATATTATGATAATCGATTTAGGATTTGGTGTTTGGAAAAGACATAGTACTGTATGTCCATAGTGAAAGCTGTTTAAGAAAGCACGTAGGGTATACATACCAAGCCAAAGCAGGTGGGGGGGGGGAGAGAAGAGTGTTTTAGAGGTGGGTTGAGAGGGTGAATCTGGGATTGAAACTTTCAGTATAATGTTTGGAAATATAACAGCAGTTTGTTCCGAGTGATTCACCACCCATTTTGTGTTGTTTCTCTATCTGAAATAAGCCCCTCTGTAGCTACTAACTAGTCTACAGGGGAAAGTGACAGGTACCAGCGTGAGATGGAGAGGATATAGGTATGTGACAGAGAAACTAGCAGATGGAGGAGTTGAAACGCATCCTCTGCTGTCTTGGGCCAGTCTATCAACACTACTTACTGTTCTGAAGTCTACGAATAAGACCATGTCTTGAGTAGCTTACATATCTGCTCCCCCCACCCACCCCACAGGAAAGGAACCAAGCAGAGATTGACCAAACTCTGGTGACATAGACCTCTCCTAAAATAGAAGATATGAGAATTTCCCTGATATGACATGAGGAGACTTGTAAATAGGGGAATGGGGATGGCTTCCTACACAGGTTTGTTTCCAACCTGTAACAAAAAAAAAGCATGGCCAATGATTTTTGAAAAATCAGCATGGAGACAGACCAAAAAACAGGGAAGGTGCATGAAAGAGACCAGGAGCGGACTCCTGAAAAGGCAGGTGTAATGAAAATATAATTTGGGGTATAGATGGATTCAGCAGTTGGCAGACAAGATTGTTGACAAAGACGTACATGGAGAGATCAGCAATACTGAAATAGACTGGGACACATTTAGAAGTATGAAGGGCAGAGACAGCTTGTTTGTTCTATTACGAGCGAGCGCTTCTAGAGGCTCTAGACGGAGGAAAAAACATATTTGGCATGTTTCAGGCATCACAGAGCTGGCTCCGCGCAAGAGCTCTCCAAGCCAATTCAATCCTTTCTTCATATTCACGGACAACTTGGGCATTTGACATGGCAAAAACAAGTGAGGAAACAACAACAGCAGATCAGAGGCACCCCAAGTTAGTAGCAGCGAGGCATATGGAGGTGCACAGCAAGGATGGGTTTCCTGCGAATGGATGTAATGGAAGGAGGTTGCTAGGTGTCTAAATGCTTTTAAGCTATTAGACAATCAAAAGCATCTGGAGAAAGTAAGAGAAGCAAGTGGAAAATCAGTATCTGGAATGTTGCAAGGGAGGATGTATGACAAAGGCAAAAATAAATGGAAAAGGAGCAAATGGAGGTCAGTGAGACTACAAGGGAGAATGTGAAGGTGGAAAAGAAAGAGAAATGAACTTTTAAACTACTGAAAGAAAAGGATTATTGTGGTATTTTGAAGACCATCCTGTTCATGGTGCAATAAGTTTTTGTCAACTAGATCCTGCATTGTCAGATACTGGAGTAGAGGATTTCCACTTTGGGGACAGAGGGCTTTTCTCTGTCAACAGCCCAGCATTGGGTTTTGGAAGCACCTTGTCAGTCACCAAGGAGCAGGATCAAATCCAATAGTGGCTGCGTATGTTCAGAGCCAGAATTAGGCAGGCTGCCCCTTGTCTCTCCCTCCTTCCTGCTTCCCCTCCCATCTGGCTGGTTAGGGTGGAGCAGATTGCTCTTTAGAGGCCTGGGTTGATTTGTTTGTGGAGGCCCTTTGACATTTGCTACAGGCTACATGAAAGTGCTGGTTGCCCATCATGGTTATTGTGGTTGACTCCAGTGGCTTCCAGAGGGACAAAGTCTAGGGAGGCACGCGAGTAATGCATCTCTTCAGCTTCTCTGTGTTCTTATGATGCTGGGCCTACAGTCCTGTATGCACTTACCTGAAAGCACATCCTGTTATACCCTGTGAGACTAAATTATGAGTACCTACTGATAGCTACTCTATTATAATACATTTTCCTTTTCTCCTTCTTTTTTCTCTATATTCTGCTTAGATTTTCTTCCTGTGCCCCTCCCCCATAGTGTTCCCTACTCAGTGCGGGTTTGTTAATCTGAGCCGTTTAATATTTATCTGCAATTGTGTTTTGTGTTGGACGTTAATTACATCCATTAATTACATCCCTGCTCGTTAGCTCTTAACGAAAGAATTCAGAATTCAGTTGGAGCCCAGCCGCTTTGCCACAGCTGGTCCAGTTTGCATGGCCCCCTCCTTCCCCACAGCTGTGGTTGCTCGTCAGGGGCTAATTACCAGGGGATAATCAGCCCAGTCCCAGTTTATAAATACACACAATGCATGCTGGGCATCAACAAGGCTTCCCAGTGGAGGGCTATGTGGAACTACTAAGCATGTGAACCCAAGTGTTTACATCAGCTTTCTTGTTAACCTGAATCCCTCCTGCAGGACTGAACTAAATACAACTCCAATTCTCCCAGCCAGAATGGCTTTAGGGATGGTTGGAGTGACAGTCAAGCACCTCTGGAGAGCACCTAGGTCAAGGGAGGCTGGCTTAAATCATTCACCCTTTAATCTGGCCCATTTGCGCTTACACATACACACACACATACGCACATTATTCTGCAGATTCTTCAGGGGAGACATTCAAGTCCCATGTCTGAAATCAGATACTGGTTGTTAGAAAACTACTTAGACTGATTTTGAGAAAGCAGGCAAGAGGGTGTAGTACATAAAGATTACACAGTATCTAGGGTAATGGTTCTCAACCTTTAGTCTTCCAGATGTTTTGGATTTCACTTCCCAGGAGACCCAGCCGACATATCCAGTGGTAGGGAATTTGGGGAGTACAAGTCCCTAACAATGTTTGCCTTAATGTTGGCTTCTCAGGCTGTGGAGCTGCAGTTTGAAAAAGGAACTTTCTCCATCTCTGATTACAACCGTGTGTGTGTGTCATGAAACACACACATTTCATGACTCTCCTCCCTTACTTTAAATTATTTCCCTCCAATAATCAGAGTCTATATCTTCACCTCCTACTCTTAAAAATGAATGTAAATAGTAATATGTTTTATGTAGCCTGAGGGATAAGTTTACTCATTTCTTCATGGTGGAAAAGAAAAAGCAAGCTTCAAAGAAATAAATGGAAGAAGAAAATGAGAGGTGAGAAGGTGGAATAAATGGGAAAGAGAGTGGGTGGTGGGTGTGTTTTTGCATGTGAGGTGGGATGCAGGTGGTCAAATGAAGAAGAAAGGTTAGCAGATTATGTCCACTTTTATTTTTCCCAATGAATCCCCCCCCTTCACCTTCTGGTCACTGAGCCCAGACACTGTGTCTACGTATTCCTCCTGGATCATAAAGGCGGCCAAGTTGGCTGTGTAGCTGGCAAGGAAGATGACGGCGAAGAAGGCCCAGATCAGCACCATGATCTTGCTGGTGGTTCCCCTGGGGTTCTCCACAGGCACAGAGTTGTTGAACACCAAAGCCCAGAGTAGCCAGATTGACTTTCCAATGGTGAACTTGGAACCTCCAGTGCCTAGCAAGCAGGAAGGAGAGTGGGGGAGTGGGATACAAAGCAAAAGCTGAATTCCCCTGTGGAGTCTTGCATGCAGCAGGCTATCTTAGCTGCTTGTTATCCTTTCTTAATTCTCTGGAGGTTTCTCAGTTTTCCTACTGGTTCCCCCTTCCTCACATTGTAGTGCACTCACGTTTACTGGCGCTGAGGTTGCGATTGTAGCCAACTGGGCTGAAATATTCAAAGATGAAGACGGTCACTGCGACAACAGTCAGGCACATGACAAACATCATTACCCAGACAGCAGGGCTGTAGGGTTCTGTGGGGAGAGAAATATGGACCATGTTATTAAGGTACTCAAGAATCAGCTGCAATCTAGGGGGAAAGGGTTGGGTGGGGAGGAATATCTCCACCTTTGGTGGTGGAAGACTCCTTAAACTAAGAGTGACACTAGTTTTTATGTCTTCTTAAATGTATAACTTAAGGCTGCATCTACATTATACAGTGGTGCCTCGCATTGCGACGTTAATTTGTTCCGCAAAAATCGCTGTTGAACGAAAACGTCGCTATGCAATATTAAAAAGCCCATAGAAACGCATTAAAACCTGATTAATGTGTTCCTAGGGGCTTAAAACTCACCGTTCAGCAAAGATCCTCCATAGCGCGGCTATTTTCGGTGCCTTTTAAGCGAGGAATCCGTCCCAGAAAACAGCGGGCGGCCATTTTGTTTACCCGGTGGCCATTTTGAAACCGCCGATCAGCTGTGTGAAAATGGTCGCTTTGCGATGATCGGTTCCCGAAGCAGGGAACCGATCTTCGCAAAGCAAAATTCCCCCATAGGGAACATCGCAAAGCAATCGCTTTTGCGATTGCAAAAAGTTCGTCGCAAAGCGATTTCATCGCTAAACGGAGCGCTCGCTAAGCGAGGCACCACTGTAATCCTAAAGAGGTTTTGAACTGGTTCTAAACTGTCTCAGCTTTCCTATCCTCAGCCAGCATTTCCATAGTGATTTTAAGTGCTCATGTGAAGCATCCAGATATCTGAGCTTGCATTTGTCCACAATACCAGCAACAGGTTACCTTCTTAGGGCATTATTTGCTAACCCCCCTCTACAATATCAATTGTTACAATTTTCTTAGTCATTATCTTAGTTTTATTTAATTTTACATAGTCCAAAAAAACAAATCTGCACACCACTCAAATAAATAAGACCCTGATGTTGGGGAAGTATGAAAGCAAGAGGAGAAGGGGACGACGAGATGGCTGGACAGTGTCATCGAAGCTACCAACATGAATTTGACCAAACTCCGGGAGGCAGTGGAAGACAGGAGGGCCTGGTGTGGTCTGGTCCATGGAGTCACGAAGAGTTGGACACAACTTAACAACTAAACAACAACATCTTTCCTATTTTCCTCCAATCGCTCCACTGGGTTACAAATATTATACACAGATTAAGCAATAAATATTCCACAAGCAACCTCAGTAATGACAAAGATTCTTAGGAGATCATTTCACCCAGCATTGGGCAAATGCCTATGTTAGGATTAACAGGATAAGAGAATGGGGAAGATTAGGGCTACTCAGTTCTATCCCATTATATGCCTTGTGTTGGAATCAACATTATCTGGAGGGCCACCTTGCCGACCCTGTGCCAACACTCCCACCTGCTGCTTTTTACTTTGCCACATCCTATGGGTGTGAATTCACCTAGAAAGGCAGATGGTGAAACAGTTCCATTGCTACGGGACACCATGACGCTGATGCCTGTCTCGACAAAGGGCACCGAGAAATCTATTACTTCAGCTCTCTCTGCATTGATAGTCAGGGATCCAATCGCCATGTCGGCTCGTTTGTAAAAAACCTGATGGAAAAGGAAAAAGAGATGGAGCATTGAATGCCATGGTTCCTGGGTCTTCTAGGAAAGGCTGGACAGTGTCTCCTGATTCTGAGGTGGAGCTTATAAAAGTGCCTTTTCTGATACTACTCCAAGTACTGTATTCACTAGGCACCATGACTTTTAGTTGTGACTGCTGGGGGACTCTGGGAATTTAATCCAATTTTTCATTTCCAACCTTTACTGGTCAGTGAACATTGTAACCACACCTGAGACTAAGACAGGGCAGAAGATTCTATTGCCTAGGCTACCTGTCGTCGTCTCTTGCGTTCTGTTTATTTTAGAAGAAATGGGATCTACGGATGATCAAGAGCCATAAGGCCTTGGCGTAACCCTCTCATAATCCACCAAGTAGATTAATGATCTCTCCTAATGCATTATTCAAATAGTCTTTTTCTTCAAATATAACATCCAGGCAGCCTGTGGTACAACATGGGGGTACTCCTAAGAGCTATTTGACTGACTGTTTTTTTTTTTACTCTTATGTGAAACCACGACATTTGAGTTTGTTAGAAGGGGAGTAGGATACAGGGAGTTTCTGCAGGAACCTAGACTCTAATTTCCTTGAAAGGGAAAGAGCTTACCTCTCCAATCATGCCGTTCCACATGCCATTGACTTTCTTGCCATGTTTGCCATTGGTGACCAGATAGAGATCATAGGTGAAACCCAGAGTTTTAGCGAGCCGCTTCAGAATGTCAATGCAAAACCCTTTGCAGCATCTCTTTTCCAAATGATTGCTGTGAACAGCGCAAGGAAGGGGAAAAGCAACTCAGCGATTGGCTTGGGAGCACTGTGAAAGGTAAACAAGAGCCAGCGTGGTCTTGTGGTTAGAGTGGCAGATGATGATCAGGGGAGGCCCAGGTTCAAGCCCCCAGTCACCCAGGATGTTTACTGGTCAGTTGTATTGTGATGATAAAATGGAGGGAAAGAGAACTATGTCTACCACTTTAAGCACTTTGGAGGAAAAGTGGGGTGTAAATAGAATAAATTAAGAAATGAAGAAGCTTGTGGGAAAGCTTGAACAATGTCATGGGAATACCTGTTGGTGCTGTTGACTGGGTGACGGCAGGGCACCGAGTCACGGATGCAGGTCTTTGTGGCAGGATCAATGTCGTCCACAATGACAAAGGGCCTTTCCTCCAGGGTCGCCACCATGAGGTGCTTATTGCCATCCACAGGTTGCAGGAATTTCCTGTACCGGGACATGCTCAGGATGCTACGCTCCCACCTTCCCACCTGCCTCCCGGGGCATAGAGAAGAGGTTAGATATACACCAAATCTTTCTTCTGAATCCTCCATCCCACTAGCATTGATTTCAAATTCACAACACATTCAGTAAATGTGACCCGACCAGATAGGCGGGATATAAACAAACAAACAAACAAACAAACAAACAAATGTCTCTTTCCCACACAAGAATACACACTGATTCTGAAAATCACTACCCAACGTAAACTCCTCTCCGGAGTGACATCAAACTTTGGATTCTCCCGTCAAATTTTCACTTGAAAATCACACCTAACCTTTTATGCATGCCTTTTCCTCTGGGGACATCCGTGACCAACATAAATGCAGAATATTCAGTAGCCAAGGGTGGGTGCTTTAAGAGGCTTCCATGGATGGATCTTGTTCACAGTCCATAGCTGAATAAGACATGGAGCTACTACCCCATCAGATTGGTTGGCTCATCATAGCAGGGTTGGTCCTTTCTGTAGAGTTGGGTTTGACTGGTTTGCCGGAGTCATTTGGAGATTTCCTTTTCTACTCATCTGAGTCTTTTCTTTTCCATAGGCTTTATTGTTCTATGCTACCATCTACATTGTCATCATTTGTTTGTGGAATGCTGCCATGCACCTTATAGTAAGGTGATTCAACCTTGGTGCTCTTTCAGCTTCAAGTGTTTATGGCTAGAGAAGGGGGTATTCGTATATGAATACTGTACAAATATTTCTGCACAGGTGGAAATAACAAGGGTCTGGCCTCATGGTGCTGGACTGTCCACTCATGATTTCGCCACTCCCGCCAGCTCAGCAGAGGCTTCATATCGTGCTGTTGTCCACAATCAGTTACCCACTCCTGGCAAGAGGCAAGATGACAAACCTCTCTGCCAGGTCGCAGAGTGGCTAATTCATTGCAGAGAATGGCGCGATAGGAAGCCTCCATGGAGCCAGTGGCAGTGGTGAAATTGTGAGTGGACAGTCCGGCCCCATGGGGCCAAACCCTCATTATTTCCACTTGTGTGGGGATATTCATAGTCATATACGAATTTGAATACCACCATCTCTATTTATGGCTATTGAATATTTTCATAAACTTGCTCTAACCCTTCAAAATTCACAAGCGTCTCACTATTACTCCTAGGTTGAGAATGGACCTTCCCTATGCTATCCTTTCCTGTGCTTCAAACAAGAGATATTGTCCCCAAGCCACTGTCTATTCAAATTCGCCTGTCGCCGCCTTGGTTCAGCAACCTTCCTCCCCACCCCACCAACTTTTCTGCCAAACCTCCCTCAAACTCACCACCTCCCAGGTTCGGTCTTTACTCAGGGAGATCACAGCTAAGGATGGGTTGATGAGATACCCCTCTTCATTAAAGGAGAAGTCCTTGTCGCCCCAGGTAACATTCATGAAGTACCTGCAAAAACACATGATATAAGCTTTTCAGTGTCAAACCTGATGAATCTGCTGCTATCTTAGCTTCATTCTTCCTACCTATGTCATTTCATTCTGTGTGACATTTTAGAGACAGCCATCCTGACACATGGATCAGGCCCCTGAAGAAAACTGAGCAATCAATCAAAAGCCTTTCAGACCCATATGGAGACTAGAACATGGTGTTCAGTGGGGGTAGGTGATATGGGTAGGGTAGTAGGTATGGAATGGAGATGGAACCAAAAAAATTAAGAAAGAATAAAACAAAGATGATGGGCACATAGTGGGAGGGAGGAGTGTTGAAAGTGGTGTATTGAGAACAGCTGAATGAGAGTGGTAGATATAAAGTAATTAATGAATGGAGACAAGGAAACAAGGAGAAAGCCAAGAAAGATGAACATAAGTGAAGAGGAATTAATGTAGAGATCATTTGACGGACATATGAAGGCTATATCCAGATGAGCTGTTGTGTTAGTCTGTGCTGAATAAAAACAACAAAGAGTCCTTGTGGCACTTAAATGGCTAATCATTGATTATGCAATGAGCTTTTGTAGACTGGAGCTGAAATCATCTGATGCAACTGAAGTCTGTGACAGTTTATGCCATAATAAAGTCTTCAAGGTGCCATAAGACTCTTTGTCAGGGCTAGAGAACATATCACTACGCAGATGTCATTGGGCTGCATGATCCTGAGTGTAGCAACCCAGCAATATTGGATGGGCCAAACATTTCCTATCCCATTTTAGATGGAAGGAAGAATGCTTGGGAAAGGGGTACATAAATTAAGAAAAACTGCAAATATCAGAGAGTAGGGCTGTAGACAGACTACTGTCCTTTCCTCCTGCACAAGAGTGTTCTCCTTTTGATTGCAACGCCCAGCCAGCTAAAATCCCCACCCCCACCCAACCACTTTCCCTGCTGACCGATGGAGATTCTCGTTGAAGTGGGTGAGATTGGGTGCCCGGCAGTCATTGTTGAATTTTGGTAAGGAGCCGTAGACTTGGAAGAGGGCCTCAGCCCCCTTAGCAATGATGGCCACACCATTCTGTACTCTGTGATAGAGATCATCTTTCCATCCTGCTGACAGCACCATGAAGAGACCTTCAGGCAGCTCATCCGGCATGTATTCAGTTCTACCAAAGTTGGCACCTGCCATGAACCAGATGTACCCTGGGCCTGTAAGCTTGACTTCACGAGCTGCACGGAAGATGCTTTCCGCTTCTTCACGGGAGCAGTAGAGAAGGCAGATGCGAGCATTGATTTCCCGGAGCTGGCGTTTGAGGCGGGCCCCGTCTGGGTCATCTGTGAGGTTAAGGGTCACAGTGCTGCGGTGCTCCCAGCCAATGAAACTGCTGTCAGTCAACACTTCAATATAATCTACAAAATCTTCATAGCCAGGGAACAGCGTGGTAATTACAGCAAATGCCGTCCAGTCGTACTGTTCCAGGACCTCAAACATCACCTGCAACTGTTGTTGCGTTGAGGAACCCAGCTGCAGAAAAGTTGATCCTTTCTCCTGGATTTAAGAAGAGAGGAGGGTATAAAAATAGACCTTATTTTCCACCCTTTTCTGTCCAGCTGATTTTAGGGATGAAGGTGCTTTCAGATTAATTTTAGTAGAGGAGTAAATGTTGGTTTTCAGTTCTGGTGAAACTGAAAATCAGTTCTGGCCTGCTCATCACCCCAGGCTTTCTACCCTATATTTCACAGCAAGGATTCCAGGGACATCTAGTGTGATGTAGTGGATAGAGTGAGGGATTAGGACTCAGGAAACCTGAGTTTGAATCCACCCTCTGCCATAGAAACTCACTGGGAAGATGGAACTGGGAAAACTACTCCTTAAATACTTATCTTGAAAGCCCTGTTAGGGCTGCTATGAATCAGTTCCAACTTGACAGCACCTAATGACAACAAATGATTCCAGAAGTAGCCATGTGCAAGAAATCAGTGGCTCAGATCCAGTAGTAAGTCACAACTAAAGCAGGCCCATTGAATAAGTGATAGGTTGGTCATAGGCACCTATGCAAGTTCCATTGATTGATCAATAGCTTTAACTTACTATTGAATTTTAGCCACTATGTCACACCAGTTTCCTAATATATCTATTATTCATCTGTCAAGGAAAAAGGGACCACAGCAGTTCCTGCTGTTAAGCATATATGCTATATCTAGTGTTTAATCACAATGTATCCACAAAGTGTATATATTTTGTGCATTAAAATGTTACAATTTTGAACTAAAATATCCTAAATTATCCACCTAAGGGGGTGAATTCTGCAGTCCTCTTTGTGCATTAAAGAAAGATTTCCTTGAATGAACAGCTTTCCACCAAGTATTCAGTTGCAGAATTTGGCTAGGTATATCATCTGAAAAAGTGGTTTTCAGTACAGAATACAGATTGTTTTCAATGCAAACCTTAATGGCTATAGGATGGATACAGAAGATAGAAGACTAATATACCTTAGGTGTAAGAACAATAGCTGATCCTCCATTGATGCCAATGATGGGAACTGAGGTTTGTGCGGAGATGAAGTCTAGGATCTGGGCCACAGCCTCTGTTCGTGTATCGTCTTCAAAAACGACCCCATGGATATGTAAGGAAGAGAGGACATCACAGAGTCGCACAATAAGACTGCGAGGATTGGTGTCATTCAGAACCACAGGAATGGGGTTAATTTCCATGGAGAAGTTGCGGAAGTCCTCAGGTGTGAACCGGGCACTCTCTGGTGTGTATGTGGAGCCACTGAAAATGATGGGGATGTTGATGGTTCGCCGCCGTAGGTCCAGAAAGGGGCTGGCACAGGCCAGAGCCATAACAAAGAGCATCCTAGCAGCGGGGTTGCCCAGGGGCAGGCTCATCTCGCAGGGCCTCTACGTTCCCCCTGCAAGGGTTTTGGTGGGGAGAGGATGGAAAAAATGGCAGGGGGAAGGAAGAGATTGAAGGAAGAAAGAAGTCCATCAGTGGGTTTTTGGAGTGCCAGTGGTTAGATTTCTGCCTGGCAACAAGGTTTGCTGACAGGCTGATTTGCTGGGGTTGAAGCGGGTAGGAAGAATTGTGCTGAGCCAGGTCTTTCTCCCCAAATGGTCTGAGAATAAACACAGCTATTGCTTCCCCTTCATGCCTATAGACTGTTTCTTATAACCTGCTCCTTACCCCATGCTCTGTACCTTAGCTTGGGATTGAGGAAGTATGAAAATTTGTGACTGTTGGTTTCTGAAAGAAGCCATTCTTCCTCTCATGGTTCCCAGCACTCATATCTCAAGACCAGCCTCGTCCAGTCTGATGCCTCTGAGAGGTGTTGGCATACAACTCTCACCAGTGCCAGCCAGGGCTTGATCTGGTGGCCTAGGCCACCAGTTGTCAGCGTCCGTACTTCCTTGCATCTGCAGTGCTGCACAGAACAGCGGCAAGGTCCTCGTGCTTTGCTTTTTTTTATGAAACAGCAGTGAAAGCATTTTAGGAGCTATAGCTCTCGGGAGTTGATAGGGCGGGGAATAACAGGAGGCACATCTTTGTGGTGCTGTATTGTGGGGCTCAACAAATATTATTGTGTGCAACAAATATTGTGTGCATAAGCCACAACCCTGTAATGAATTGAGTAAAATGGATAGAGAAGAAGACCAGTTAACCGGCAGTCAGACACCATGAAAGCTGTCCTGAACCGAAAGGCCAAAGCCCTCAAGCAAAAGCCACAGACTCAGCCTCTGACTCAACCTTGCACTCCTCCTCCACATATCAACACTTGCTACATCTCTCTGCCACCTCATACCTCAACTGAAAGATATGGCCCAACCATGCCTTTCAATAAATAATATCAGTCTCTTCACAGACATACTTCCAAGCGTCCCTTTCCCTGTTCTTCATGCTTGCACCTCCAATACAGCCTCTGAAATACAACAAAAACATACCAGAATCTGTCCCCCTTCCCGCCCTCAGTTACATCTACAAAGTTTAGGAAATGCTGTGTTTGAGCTCAGACTTTCTGAGGACGATCAGCCTAACCTGGGAGCAGAGATTTTGGGGGTCTAGCAAGCAGGCACACCCCGAGCTTGGCAAAGTCACAGAACTCTTTGTCATTCATGAATTTTAGGGAGAGGGACGCATATGAAGCCAATTTATCCCAGAAGCCCCTTGTCTTTAATATTTTAAAATCTATTAATCAGCTAATGTTCCCCGCCCTCTTAATTCCATAAAGCAGGGAAGATGTTCTACTTAGGGATAACTCAGTATGAGCTGGCCAAAAAAAGAGGCTGTTCCCAGCAGCAAGCTTTTAACTGAGAATGTAGATGAACAAACAAGGGCATGTTCAGCAGGAAGCAAAATCTGTTAGATTGCAAAAAATCTCACATGGCTCAAACACCAGTCCCTGTAGAGCAGGGATTTAAGGACATGTGGCTCCTCCAGATGTGGTTAGACAACCGGCCCCAGAAATAATAGACTGAATATGTTTGCTCCACCTCATCCAACATTGCAGCTTTCACTGATTCCCTTTATTTCTCTTTTGCTAATTGGGATCGCTTGATAAGAGTTTGGATTGACTACCTACTGTTTCATAAAAGCCCAGTAAAGCTGCTATTGTCATTGTTAATGTCATTATAAATAGTGTAGATAGCTGTTCAGAGAATCATTTAAAAGGTAGAATATACACCCCGTCTTTCAAAACATTCTCAGGATCAGCTCTTCTGTTACACCCCTCCCAGGAAAGTTCCATAAGGCAGAGGGAGGGAGTGGGTCTGTACACAGTATCTTATGCTTACTGGGCCCCTATACCATCAAGAGGATATTCTATCCCAATGAAGTAGTCCAACCAAGGTTTGCCTATGATTGCTTATTCCTCTTACTTTTCCATTTATTTCACACTGGGCATCCAATGCCATTCTTTTGAGCAACAGCAACACACAACCATACATTTGTTTGCCAGCTAGCAATCTACAGTATATCTTATGTGAATTCCCACAATGAATTGCTCCTCATAAATCAGCATTACAGTATGCAGTAAGAGAGTTTTGAATTATCTGAAGGAACCAAAACCAAGTTTTGAGTTAAACAAAGAATGGGGAAGGGCTCTTTCCTTACTCTTAGGTAGGCTTCTCATTTGACCGTCGCATGATGGCATTGCAAGTGAAGTCCAGAATATATTAGACAATGATGGTGATAACGAACAGTTCCTGACTACATGGTCAATTAGAATAATGTAGTTCAGTTCCTATAATGAAATGGAATCCCTCATTTTAAACCTTTAATAATGTAGTTCCATTTTGAATGTTCATGGTATCTAAAAAAATGAGTGTTTCAAGAGTAAGAGCTCCAATCAATTTTTTTAACTCTATTGGCTTACTGCTTATCTGCAGAAGGCTTTTTCTTTTACACTTAGGACACAGAATATTCTAACATGCAGTTGCCGACTTGCAGCTAAAAGTGCTATTGGTTAGTTAAGAGTTGCAATGCCACTTGGCTCTACAATAACCGCATGTACAAAGGAACTTCTATCCAGCAGGCCCCTCTAGGGAATATTCTAGTGGGGTGTTCATCAACTAAATGTTCCGTATGTACAGGACAGTTATGGATGCCACACATAAAGGAAGTGATGCAGAAGAATAAGCTAGTGGGGAAAGATACATGGTAGAAATATACACTGTAAGTAAAATCTGATATGCTCAAGTGGCCTGTACTGTCCTCTGAAGTGGACAGTGAAATATTTTGACCCTGGACACACTTCTAGTCACTCTGTGCATAAATTTAGCAAATGTTATTTTCCCAAATCCACATGTGCCAAAATAAAAATGAATGGGGGGAAGGGGGTTGAGAGGTGGGGAGATGTATGCCTGAGGATTTTCTCCTGCAGTCCTCCCAAGTGGGTTTACTTTCCAGATTCAGATCCCAGTTGTGGGGGGAAAAACAATTTAAAGGTAGCCAGAGGGATAGAGATAAGAGAGAAATTCATTCAGCTTGCATTTTTATATGAACCAAACTAATTGACATTTCCTGCACTAATATGTGAACCGGAACACAATTATTCTTCAGTTTTCACACTTCAAATGTTGCAATGCATTGGACAAGAAACACATAAAAACAATGTGTACATCCAGGGAAATTGTGTACAATAATGTGTGCACTGGGGGAAAGTATGGACATGAGTGCATCTAGTAGGGAAAATGCCTTGCAAAAATGCATACAAATGCTTATCTGTACATCCATCCATATGCATCATGCAGATGCTTTAAAATGTTTGCAAACTCACAGAGAAATGGTACAGAATTACTTGGACTGGAACAAAAGAATGATGGGCTTGAAAATGACTTCAGTTTGGGGAGAAATGGGGGTGTTCTAGAAATTGAGAGACCAGTCTTGTATCTCATTATTGCAGGTTGGAGTATTGGCAGAAGGAGTTCGTGAATACCTTCCCACCTGTTCCCACTTCTGTCCTACAAACACCCCACCTCACCACCACATGACAAGACTAGCTCTGCCACATATCCCTCTGCTCTTGGTGATCTAAATATCTGCCTCCTGGGGCTATTTTTTTAAAACTTATACACTATATACTTATGGAATCAAACACTCCAGTCCATACACACTATTGTTGGACTCTTCTCATCCTTGTCACAGGACAAAACATCACAAAGTAAGAGGCTTATTCTGCCTGTGCTAATTTTAATGAGAGGTCTCACTGCTCCTTAGACCACTTTCTTTGTTCTTTCAGCTTTGAAGCTATTCACACCTATTTTAAGATGTCAGCAACCTTTAAGGCATCAGCTAATTCTGGCAAGCTGTTACACTGTGCAGAGTGCATCTTATTCCACCAGTAACTCTCCTTTAACAGAAGTACACAGAATAACTCCCCCCCACCTCCCCACCAGGAATGACTCAAGTTTTCATTTCCCCTTTGTTATCATTTAAATAGCATGTTGTAACTTGTATCATTTAAGACCATTTTAACTCGCTTTAATACAATCCTCCAAAGTCAATCATTAGCAGAGCTGTTTCATAGACAGGAAGAACCAATCTCAAGAGCCCTGTCTATCTGTTTGTTTATTAAAAATATTTCTAGCCTGCTTTTTAGTATGCAAAAACCCTCTGAAAGAGGCTCGCATGATAAAAACAATGCAGGATGCCTTCTCCCCCCCCCATCTCTATGATAAAGATAAGACTCATGCAGGAAAAAGTGTGTATGCCATCACATGTCAACTGAAGCACCAGTATTTACTCATAGTGAAACAAACTTATGTGGTATTCCACATATAATGAAGTGCACATTTCTTTAAACTGAAGATTCATGCTATTATTTTAATGAGGTGCCAAGGTGTGCCCACTATGTGATGGACTAGGACTCAAGAGGCCTGGGTTTGAATCTCCACTCAGCCATGGAAACTCACTGGAGGAGTGGAGCTAGTAAAGCCACTCCTTAAATATCTCACTTACCCTGAAAGCCCTGTTAGGGTCATTATAAGTCAGTTCTGGCTTAACAGCACATAACAAACAAAACAAGATTTGGGGAAGCTAAATCCTTCTTTTTCTTGCCTTTCAAACGTCTTAGGGATTTCATGAGCTCACAGACTAGAATAAATGAGAAACACAGTATAGATGATGTGTGTTCAAATGGTTACAATGGTAAAAATCTGTGTTGGGCTAGAGCAGTGGTGTCGAACTGTGGCCCCGGTAAAAATCTGTGTTGGGCTAGAGGGAAGGCAACGACGGGAAACAACCAGTATGTTTTCCAAATACACAAAAATAATTAGAATGACTTATTTGATAGAAATGTAAAGGCAACGACGGGGAACAACCAGTATGTTTTCCAAATACACAAAAATAATTAGAATGACTTATTTGATAGAAATGTAATACATGGTTTTATTTTCTTTGCCATAGCATAGCATAGGC